TTGACAGGATTAGAACCCTCATTTTCCCATTTATGTATAATTCATTAGTTTAATTTTTATGAGAAATATATTTTATTTTTAATTGTTATATGCTCATTTTTTCAATTATGTATGATTTGAAAGTTTTACTGTGAATGTTTCTGAAAAATTCTCAAGTTAATTTCAGAAAAATGGATAGGCATGGGATGTAATAATCTAAACAGTTCAAAATATGTTCCATTTCATAGAAGTTGCATCTATATTGTACCCTTCTAATGTTCCAAACGAACTCCAGAATGATATCCACGGTGAAAATCCAAATTATATTTCAAATATTACTTTTTACGTCCCACGGACGTCCATTTAACGTCAACTGAACTAAAAATGTAGTCCTGAAAAACACCATTCTAATCCAACATATGTCATTGAAGGACGTACAGATGATGTCCATGGCAGAGCGGACGTCCAGATAATGTTCAACATCAGGACATTTGTACGTCCCGAGAATGTCCATGGGACGTCCATTGTACCAAAACTGTATATCCAGGGAAGTACTGCATGTGCGGAGAGGACGTCGCAATAACGTCCATGGGACTAAGGCTGCACCTATATTGAATCCGTATTTCTCCCGACCCGATATGGAACGACCATTGGATGCCCCGCGTTCCGATGCAATCTGTTGTAACTGCGTACACTGGACTTGGTTCGACCCGATTGGTTTACAGTTGAAGTTGTGTTTTGGGGGTAATTATGAGTGATTCTGAAGATGATTTTTGTGATGACTTGTATAAGAAAAGAATGTTCTCCTTAATAGGAGTCGTAGAAAAAAGGTATGGGTGCATCAGTTTAATGAAGATAAATCTGAAGGGGAATTTTTCAAAACTTCTCTACGTATAAGAAACTACCCGGATAAATTTAAGGACTACCATCGTATGACTATGGAAACGTTTAACTATATTCTTGAAGGCATAAAAAACGACATAACTGGCCAGTCTAACTTCAGAGCATGCATCAGCCCTTTTACCAGTAATTGGTCCCCAATAACCTCCTATAGTTCAGGCTTAATATCACTAATATGGTAATCCTTGTAGTTTTGATTTGACTACTCGTGGGTCAGTAATCGGTAGTGATCGTTTATTGTCGTATCGGAGTTACATTATTCCCGAGCCAACCCTGGACTAACCTGTTTATTTATAGATAAAAACCGGTACTTGCTGACATTGCATTCTTGCCGAACTTTATCTCTTAATTGTTTACAACCCTTATTTGATGTTTACAACTTATAACATATCATAAGCATTTCAACCAAGACTTATCTTTTGATGATTATGAATTCTACCCTGGAATTATCTTGCATAGTAAGACCTTTTCCCATAAATTATCTTTTTACCTTTACCAATGTCATAGTGTGTCTATATAAGCACATGAATTGTTATTGTACACAATTAGTTTGTGACCAGCTTTCTATTTGAATAAAGCAAATAACTTTTATTTGTGTGAAGTTCAATTAGTCAGAGTTATAAAACTAGTTCAACATTACTGGTGCTTTTACGAACCCCAGACTGCTGGAAGCACAACGTAATTTCGGACTACCTTCTCCAGTGAAGGCACCTACTTTAAAACTTATTTGTTTGTTTTTCTTCCGATGTCGTCCGATGGTCGTCCCACATCGGGTCGGGAGAAATACGGATTCAATATGGGTGCAGCCTATGTTGCTATTAGGGATCATACCTGTTATATTAGAAAAATCAATGCACCCTTTGTCCAAGGATTGCACCATAATAAACAAACATTGCATCAGCCACTACGCAGTTACCCAGGAAATGACTCAGCATATTCAGCACATTTCCAAGGTTTTTCTAGAACATTCGAAGAAACGCATATCTACATCAGCAGTTCCTGATCCTATAAATATGGGAAAACAAGAGGACGCCTCATTCTTGAATCACTTCNGTATAGGTGCGATTTTAAAACAAATTCAACCCAATGGGGATGAAAAGCCTTGCACATATTTTTACAAAAAATTAAGTGACTCTCAATTAAATTAAATTGAATTCACGAAATGTAACTTTGCACAGGACTCTGTAAAATATCTAGGGCACATAATAAAAAACAATACTGTCACTCCACTGAAAGATAATTTGATTGCCATAAAACAATTTTCGATTCCTTCAGTTTATCTCAGGGAACTTGTTATATCCAATGAACCCACATTGAATATTTTCATTGCATTACATGGAAAACTTTTTCGAAACTGAAGAAGTATGTTTGAACACAGTAAATGTATCATGGTTTCGAGTTTAACAATATTTGGGGTTACCCAGTTTTGAGAGTCTATCGAAAAGATAATTATTCAGTTTATAGATCAAACAAGACATTATGAATTTAGTCAGTTTTTGTGGAAAAACAGGAGTTTATAGAGTTTACTTGTGTTGAGTGAAAATCTCACATATTGGGCTCTATTTTCTTCAAAACTCTTTTTTCAGACTAGGCAGCAAGATGAAACATTCTTTATCGAGAATGATTCATTTATCGGATTATTTCGAATTTAAGTTTCATTTCATAACATTAGAAGCCAATAAATTTAGATTGTTTCGAAGTTCCTCAATAAGTTTTTCATATCAGTATTATGAATGATTGGCATCGAATTGATGCCAACCATTTATAATCCCCTATTTTTTTTAGAATATGTGAGTATCAATTTGTTTAAAGTTTTTTCCTTTCGTCAGTTTTGGTGAGACTTTGCTCTAGTTTATTTTATTGTGCTTTTGTACTGAAGTCCGAATACAAAAGGTATTTTAGAAAAAAAAAATAAATGAACTATTAATGAAATCATAGCTTTTTTGAGAGTCTTTTTGAATTATCTATGTGTACTTTTTCATGATTGTCTGTGAAAACTGTTTTCATTTTGTTATATAATTGTGATAGTGAATATTACTGGAGTTTCATCCCAACAGCAAACCGTTACTTCAAAACCTCGACACGTGTTTCGATCAACAAGTGATCATGTTCAAGAGGGAGATAAGTTCAATCTTTCTCTTGATGATGATCAATTGGTCGAAGTGTTGAAATAACGGTTGGGTGTTGGACTAAAACTCCAGTAATATTCATTACTACACCAAAAAGGTTCTAAACAGTGCATCACAAGTATATTGTGATAGTGGTTGATTTTTAAAATGTGATGATTTGTGCTGTCATTTAGAACAATGTTGTCAATGTCGATATTTAATAGATTATTGTTGGTGATATTGCAATTGAAGTGTTCGCTCGATGATGTGGATCTGTTGTCTCAGTTACACCTGAAAACCGAATACATCTGTATTCGGTTTTTACCGAGCGACGAAAAATGCGATCCGTTAGTTCTGGGACCAACGTTAGGATCAGACAGACTTCTCAGTTATTTCTTGGAAAATTATTAACTTTTGGTGAGATTTTGGACACTTGTTTGTCAGAACGTCTTCAGAAAAGAGTTCACGATACATTCACATTGACATAATAATGGCTTTTTTGACGCCAGCCTTTCTTTGAAAGATGTATAAAATTGTTTGCATTTCAAAAAGAAAATCATAAATTGCAGTTCTGTTTTAGAAAAAAACTTAATCAATCTAATATAAAACATTGTAATGACAAACTTTACCACAAATATCAGGTTGTCATTCAGATAGAATCGAGCGTTCGTTAAATATATTTCGCTCCGTTGACTCTCTGATCACGTGATATCAAATCTGCTCACTCGGCTCTAGATTTTTCAAACCGAACACACCAATTCTCTGCTTTCAGCTTCGTTACGGAATGGATTAAATGATTATGAAGCAAGGGGGTTTGATATGTTTAGTGAGGGTGACTCGAGTCTTTGTTCTGTGATTGGATGAACAAAAGTGTATACATACATTTTGTGCAATTAAAATTCTTCAATAACTTTACTTTTGAATTCAGATCCATAATCAACTATTTTTTGAATTGGTACACCCTTATATGAAAAAAAAAATTAGGAGTTTGTCGTCATAATGGTACTTGATGAACTTGTGTAAATAACATGTTCACGCATAGTTTGAAAAACTGTCGACTACAGTTGCAATTTATCTCTGCAGTGTAAACTATAATGAATGAATATAAACGGTTGGAGTCTGGGGTTATGTTCATTTTGGTTTTGATGGGAAGACTTTTTCATTCACTTTGATGGGATATATTGCACTCACTGATGAAATTTTGAATATAGTCAATAAGTTTGTAATATGCCCATTGATTTCAAACAACGTGAAGTTAGCCACACATTTCTAGCCACCTTTCTGGCGTGGGGAAAACTCTTACGTGGGAAAGAGGTGCATACTCATGGGGTGTTGTCAGATTGTTTTTTTCCTTAACTTCTTACGAACCACGATTCTTAAGATAATTGGAATCGGGTAGTGACGTGATCTGACGCGATGGCAATAATTATTCACAATTTCTATAATCCACTGAAAATATTTCGAGGGCGAACATTTTTTGAATTTCAAAAATATGTCTAAGATATAGGTAACCAATTATTATGACCCTTAGAAACGGAAAAAATAATTCTTGAGGAGACTATCAGCAATCCACTCAATATATTTCGAGTGTCAGAAATTATAGAGCTTCTCGAGAAAAGTTATGAATATAGGTACGGATTGAAATCAATTTGTTTTTTCGCAAGAATAACGATCAATCTTATTTGTGAAACTCAAAAAAAATGGCACTCGAAATATATTGAGTAGATTATAGATATTCTGAATAGTTATAGACTTCGTGTCGAGTTACGTCACTACCCGATTCCAATTACCTTAAGAAATGTTCGTAAGAAGTTAAGAAAGGAAAACAATCTGACAATACCTCTCGTGTTTGCTCCTCTATTCCACGTGAGAGTTGCCCTACGCCAGAAAGCGTAGCTAGACTTCACTTCAATTCATCTTTTACATTTCAAAGGAGGTCATTTGGAATTTTATCTAGTTGCCACACGAAATCAGGGGCGATATCCTATTTTACTGAATTTACTATATCCTTCTCAGATGTATTGAAAAAAATTTGAACAGTTATATTATATTACTTTTCAAATTTGATGGTTTCGATTGTGAATGAAAAATATTATTGTTATGATTAGTATTAGTATGCAAAGTTACTTCGTCAGTTGTGTTTCGTTCATGTTTGTCAGGATTAAATACCACAGAAATAGTATCTTGAAAATATTCGGTCATTTCTGAAATTTCCAAAAATGTCCAATACCAGGTATGTGAGTTACGGTTCACAATATTTTCTTTGTTTGGGTAATAATACTAACGAATTACAAAATAATGAAATCGTAGATTTTGTGGTGACATGCACTAGAAATAATGATATATTAATCACGATTTCAATATGGTGTTTAGGAAACGAATGAAACTGATTTCATTTTCTGCTATACCTAAATGTTCTCATTGCTACATTTTGATTCACATTTTTCAACATGTCGATAATGGTTACTTACTTTGCCAGTAGGAGTGTGATTCTTTACCTTCTTCATTCATGTATACTCTTAAGAAGCTCAAACCAAAATCTGCAATTTTCAGAGCAAATCTACTGTCAACCAAACAATTAGATGATTTTAGAGCACCATGAGATTTTATTGAACTGCGATGAATATAATCCATTCCACGTACTAAGTCCATCATCAAAGAAATCCTCAAAGGCCAGTCAAACTTGAGTTGATCGTTTCCAAGAATATCATCTAAACTACCTCTTTGACAATATTCTGTTAACAAACAATTCGGGATATCAAAGCAAGCGCCATGGAATTTCACCAAATTATCGTGCGTTAGGTCCTTCATGACTTTCAGTTCATACAAATTATCGAGTGTCAGTTCGATTTTAACATTACTGAGATATTTCACAGCCACTGGTATCGACTTGTAGGAACCCACTTCAGTGTATAATTGTCTATCTCCTATGACACTCACACCATCGACTTCGGTCTGAAAAAAGTATCTTGAGTAATTTGAGCATAGAAGGAAACCTATGATGGCCCATAATGTCATCATAGATTATTGAAAAATACTTCAAATAATTAAAATAATGTTTCTTCGTAAAAGATATGAAAAAAGTGATTCATTTTCTGTATCAGTACTTTCCAAAACTCTTTGGAAAGTCATATTCATTATTAATTTCTTCTTCATCTATCTACCAAATACCTATACATACATCAACAAAATCACCAACCGTTTCTGAGATATTTGCAAAAAATTGAAAATGACAGATTTCGTTTTTTTGCTCTACCGCCTCCATTTTCAATAACATCAAAAATTGACAAAATAACTCTTTCGTTTACTCCATGCTTTTTATAATCTGATTCAACCCATTTTTGAATGCGACGTTTCGTTCATTGAAATCCATCATAAATATTTTTTTTCAATATGAACCTATATATTTTTTCATACATTTTGTTATTCATTGTAATTACACATTCATTGACATATTACAACAATGTATTTCGTTTCTTCTAAAAAATACTTCTTCAAAATTACATCATTCAACTTGTTTTCAATAAAATACAAAATTTATAAATATCGTGGCAAGCACATAGTTAATAGTATCGTAATACACAACATTGAAAAAGTAACAGTTGCGAAAGAGAATGTAACGAAATAATAAATTGTAGAAAATTAAAGTCATAATGGAATGCCTCACGTAAGATTTTTTAGTTAATGTCTCACGCGATATCGCATTGAATGTTTGAATTGTCATCATTCCTCAAACAAATACTCGCTCTAGAAATAGCGTGCTTGTGACAGTTCTCTAACATCTGTGGAGTGATAGCCATATGCGCGAAGAGGGTACATGGCGAAATTGCATGCTCTGTGGTGTGAAACACATTCGGAGCATGCTGCTTTTTCCGCCCAAAATCTCAGGGATTACGTATGTAAACGAAGTGAGTGACACTTCATTTAGTTTGAACAGTTTGAATTTGCTGCGTAATGACTTTGATGTATAATTTATATGTAAACTCTTTGGAATCTATGGTTCTGTGGGTCACATGTCTCCATGTGGCTACATTACAAAGACGGCATGAGAAACGACAGGTGTGGATATCTATGAACCCGGAGATGAAGGCAGTTTATTGTGATGAAATTGGAAATATACAATTCATGGGATACTTATTGGAGGAAAAAACAAAACCATAAACTTCCACAGCAGGATTTTCAGAAGAATCCCTGGCAAAAATCATGGAAAGCTGCAAGGAAATGAATGAAGATTCATGAAAACCTTTTAATATGAGGAAAATGGCAGAAAAAGTTGTTATAGAAAAATTCAATAGCAAGATTACTAATGTGTCCCAGTGGATGACTATCTTTGAAGCGGAATGTGCACGTATAGGAATAGAAGATGATGTCAAAACAATTGAAATTTTTAGGTTATTTATAGAAGACTCTTGTTTAGGCTGGTATAGTTCCATGCTTATAAAGCATACAATAAATTCAGAATGGGCAATGTGGAAAAAAACTTTTGTGAAACATATGCCGATAAGGGTTGGTCACCAATCAGGTATGCAAAGTTATTTAAATACAGACAGGGCTCGTTACTGAAATATGCGTTAAGGAAAGAGAGACCATTATTATAAATTGATAAGTCCATAGATAAATCCACGAATTTTATTGCAGATAAGATTGATAGAAATGGTTTGAAAGAAACTGAAGACTTATTTAATAGTATAAGAAGTTTAGAGCATATGATTATTAAAAAAACATTTGATAAAAAGATAGGAGCTTTCGAAAGTAAAATTGAAGAGAAAAATGTGAAACCCTTGGTTATTCCGTGTAAAATTTGTGAAAAAGAGAATAAAGGTATACGCTATCACCCTGAATCACAATGATGGTTCGAAATTGAAAATAATGATGGGTCAAAAAAAGATCAAATAAGGAGTGTTAACAATTCTGAATTAGAGACAGAATTATATGGAATCGACCCAAAAAACTAATAGTGCCGCAATTAATAAAAATTAAAGTGCTAATAAATAATGCTTTCGAAATATCAGGAATCTATGACTCAGGATTTAATCTGTTCTCAATAAATTCGAGCTCATTATCTTAAAAAAAATACATACAAGTAAGAAAAATGCAGGTTTGAAAACAATCAATGGCGTATAAAAATCAATAGGAATGGTTACTTCAAAAATTAAAATTTTTATTGAGAAAAGGAGAAGAATTTGTTTAGTCCGATAGATGTCAACAATCCTTTGATACTGTAAAAAAACTACTTTGCTCAAAACCTATTCTTACCATCTTTGATCCAGACTTGCCAATACATATTTATACAGATGCTAGCATACAAGGTATAGGTGCGATTTTAAAACAGATTCAACTCAATGGTGATGAAAAGCTTTGCGCATATTTTTCCAAAAAATTAAATTACTCCCAAAAAAAGAAAAAAGCCATATATCTTCAGTGTTTGGCAATAAAAGAGGCAGTAAAGTACTGGCAACACTGGCTTATAGGAAACACATTCACGGTTTTTTCAGATCACAAACCTTTAGAAAAAATGAATATTAAAGCCAGAACGGACGAAGAATTGGGAGACTTAACGTATTATTTGGCGTGGATCGATCTTAAAATGATATATTCCCCGGGTAAATATAACATAGAGGCAGATACTTTATGCAGAAACCCTGTGTTAGAATCGTATAAAAATGAAGTAGTAGTTTAAAAGTACTGAATTTTGTTAAATTAGAATGCATACGAAATGATCAAGATAAAAATGAAGATATAAAAGAAAATATAAGTAAACTTATTTTCAAACATAATAAATATATATTACAAAAAGATAGGGAAAAAGAAAAAGATTGTAATAACTGAAGAATTAAGTCAAAATATTATAAAACATGTACATCACTACTACTGTCACACAGGAAGAAAACAAATGGAAAACAAGATTAAACCCTTTTATAAAGCTAAGAATTTATTGGATAATATAAAAAAAATGTGAAAACTGTGATGTCTGTATAAAAAATGAATCTAGAGGTAAATACAAGTTTGGACTAATGTCTCACTTAGGTCCTGCTACCTGTCCGTTCGAAATAGTGTCTATTGTCACCATAGGGGGATCCATCCAAAACATATTTACATCACTTCACTCGTTACGCTTATATTTTGACATCCAAAATACAGAGTGCGAATGATTTTATAAAACTTGTCCAAAAAGTAACACAAGATTATAAAATTGACTTGATTCTATACCAATATCCTGGCATAAATTCAAAGAATTTAAAAAAATTTTTAGAGAAAGAAGATATACCTATAGTTTTCACTGCAGTAAATGGGCCATTTTCAAATGGATTGAATGAAAGATTAAACCAAACGTTGGTTAATAAAATTCGTTGTAAGATTTATGAAAGGAGGGCACAGAAAAATATAATGAAACTGAACATAGCGTAACAGGGTTCTCCCCAAAATATTTATTGGAGGGAAAAATATTGACATTCTACCAGATGAACTGAAACAAAATATAACACAAAATCATCTATTACGAGACCAAAAAACTGACTTAGAAAATAGTATAAAATCACACAATAATAATAAACGAAGATTTGATAAAAATAGAAAACATTTTGAACTAAAAGTCGGAGATTCTGCATATGTTGAAAATGGAAATCAGTTAAACCGAAAAAAAACTAGATGAATTGAAAATTGGACCTTATCAAATTGTAGACAAAATATCCAATTCAATTTACAAAGTGAACACGGGTCACAAAAAGTCAGAGAACCTCTTTCATATTACAAAGCTTATTCCAGTAAAAGAGTAAAACAGTAAAACTGTATTTGAAGTGGAAGGAGAGATGTAAACGAAGTGAGTGACACTCCATTCAGTTTGAACAGTTTGAATTTGCTGCGTAATAACTTTGATGTATAATTTATATGTAAACTCTTTGGAATCTATGGTTCTGTGGGTCACATGTCTCCATGTGATGAATATGTAGGTTATGTTAAATAAGATATTGCAATTTAAACAATTTGTGAATAGGAACTGGTGAAGCAATAGCTTTAAATGTTGTTTCTCTTTTCAGGTTATTTTGTGATTAAATGTTGAAGAATGTTTTGTTGAAAATGTTAAAACTGGTTTATGTAATAAAATCCTCCTCTCTTTTCAGAGCAACTCAATTTTGGTTATACATTTACTGTTCCACAGAATATCTAAGGATAATTATAAAACACATTATACGTATACTATTTTCGGCGGCAGGGCTATATAGCTCTTCCCCAGTCTGCTAAAGAAGTGGTAGAAGTGACAGTTCTACCACCCGTTGGCACAACTGGAGAGGAGACTCGCATTATGCCACCAATGGAGTCAATCAGAACACGCAGGACGCTCCACAGAATCAGGCCACTGAAGCCACAAGACCTGGCATGTTTGGATGCGGAGGTGCATGGTATTCTAACAGAAGAGGCTGACATCTGGCAAATCAACACCGCCTTGTATAGCGTCGTCCAATCGTTTTCCGAATCGAAAGGGCAAAATCCCTGCCTTGCGATTCGGAAGATTGAATGGCTTTTACACAAGATGTAAGTTAAGATCACGTCAGCGAGACAACACGCGTCTCGTATCCAATGTGCGATGGATTACAGGGCGGCCAACATGTCATTTATACCCGCAGTGCGGAGAATAGCCACCTTGATAGGATACGAATGCTAGTGGCTGCTAAGAAATCACTAGTGAGGCGAGCGAGAGGTATCGTGGAAAATTTTAGGTTCCACGAGAAGTTTTCTCGCTTATTCAAAGAGCCTCCACGTATTGCGGATGATTCGTAGACCGTTGATCAGGTGGAATCCTTCTGGAAGGATATCTATAAACACCCGCAGCCATTCAACTTAGAAACTCCAGCCCTAGCGTAATTCGAAGCTTTCAACAGAGAGTTTCGACAGCCTGAGCTCAACGAACTGAGCAACCCGATAACCCCGGATGACGTTCGAAGAATCCTTGTGGGATCCAAGAACTTTGCTGCTCCAGGCTCGGATGGGCTGAACACTTATCAGTGGAAAAAACTAACAAGCACCCACCGCCATTTGGCTGGAGCTTTCAACTTATGGTTAGACTAGGAGCAGCTGATTCCGGATTAGTTTACCGAGGGGCGGACCGGTCTCATTCCGGAAAGCGGAGATTTGTCGATTCCTAAAAATTACAGACCGATAATATGCTTGAATTCGTGTTATAAGTTGTTTCCAAGCATCTTATACACACGAATACTCACCGCAGTTGACCGAATGTTCGAACAGATATATGAGCAGAGAGATTGGAGGGAAGAGTCGCTGGATGTAAAGAGAACCTGCTCATCGATAGATGTGTATCGCAGGACTCGATACAATATAAGCGTAACCTCTCTATGGCCTGGATCGATTACCGTAAGGCATTTGATACAATATCGCATGAGCTCATCTTGTATTTGGTCAGATGCCTTGCGGTATCCAACAAAATTGTGGTATGCATTGAACAACCGATACCACTCTGGTGAACTGGCTTCACCATAATATCTGGTCAAGTCAGAGTCCAAACAGGGTGGGTCACTTTCAGAAAGGGTGTATTTCAAAGAGATTTCCTCAGCCCCCTTCTCTTCTGAATCTCACTATTGCCATTATCTGTTGTGCTCAGAAATACTCGAAGGTATAACTGTGGCACCACGGAAACCGGAGGCACAAGCTCACAAATTTGTTCAATATGGATTAGGATCTCCATCAATCCTAGCGGGTGGTGGAAGAATACACGCATGCTATCGGTATCAAATTCGGGATAGACAAATGTGCAATGGTACTTCTCAAAAGAGGACGAGTGGGGACTGAGAAGAGGATGTGCAGCTCGAAGATGGAAGCATCCTACATCATTTGGATACCGGAGAGAAGTATACTCACCTTGGGGTGGTACAACGCCACTCACAAGTGGTTACAACAGTGAAGAACTCTCTCCGCGGCAAGTATCAGCGTAAACTTTGACAGATCTGGTCATCGGAACTATCGGGGAAGAACAAAGTTGCTGAAACGAATATGCTTGCCGTTCCAATCGTACTCTACTCATTTGGAGTAGTGAAGTGGACTTCGGAGGCGCTGTATCAACAAGACGTAAAGATCCGAAAAATGATGCATCTCTATAGGAGTTTGCATTCCAAATCGACCGTTGAAAGGTTGTACTTTCCCCGACAATAGGGAGACCGTGAACTAATGAGTTTTGTCTGTCTATATGACAGAATGGTACTGGATAAAACCTGTAAAGTCGTCAGGAGTTCGGATCCCCTTCTCTGCATGGTCCGTGACCATGAGAGAGCAAGAATTGGAGCATTTCTCTTCAGGGCATCTGCCCGAGCAGCTGATGAACTCGGTTTGGTTTTCGACACTGAACGAGGTGATCACAACTCTGTCACCGAATTGGATC